GTTCCTCTTCTCTCTTGTGGCCCCACCATGATGGTGACTATTATGGTTGTATTTTATGAAAGTACGTGGTATGATGTATATGTGCATTCATTCACATTCATATAGATGTTATATGATTCTTGATGTTATGATGATGCACTGATGATATATGTTATGAGGATCCTGGCCAGTGATCATGGTATGTAGGCTGCCTATGACTTGACTCTGGGAGCTATTTCATACTGAGGTAGTGTTGAGTGTCTATGGCTTGACCCTGGAAGTCACACATGTGTAACCGTCTATGGCTTTGACCCTGGGGTTACACAAGGATTATATGATGATGTTATGTTTATGTTGTATGTTTGTATTATATGCTTTATAGACTTGTCATGCATGAAGTGGGCTCAGGGGATTAGAGGATCCTTTATGAACCTTGAGCTTACTGAGATGTTGTTATCTCACCTCGTTTGGGGACATCATTTTAGGTACCCAAAGTAGTGGTGATGCTTCTAGGGGCAAGGCCCCCGCATTGGAGTAGTTGATGATGCAGCTAATATTTTATATTATGTTTAGACTTATGACGGCATGTAGATTTGTTAACATGCTTAATTATTGTATTGAGATTATGTTATGGATTTATTTAGGCTCATGATTGTATCCTTAGAGCCGTGGATGATTTACTGATGTTACGTTTTAGGATTAATATATACTTGATGTATCCATTCAGTTAATTTGGGCATGAAGCCTTATTGTTTGTATTGACCCATTGAGGGGATTGCAGTCTGTGTGGGACTTGCAAGCTATCTGTTTAAATTATTGTATCAATCAGGTTAACTGTATGTGTAGGACCATGTTCCAGTTTTTCGAAATACCGCCGTTATGCTGTCCGTGAGACTCCGTCAGGAATGACACTTGATGTCATATCCTGATGGTCAACACCTACTAATACTGGCTAATGGGATTAATTAGTAGATGTATATTTTCGATTTACGCTTTCGCAATATCTCACATGAACGTTTTTATAAATGATTTCAGCAAAATATTTTGGAAAAAGTCTACTCGTATTTCTATAAGACGCTTTATTTCTTTTTCAAATAAAGTCTTCCGCTGTGTATGCTAAATATCATGTATGTTAACAACCGGAGTACTACGGGGTGTTACTGGTCGTGCTTCAAGTTCTGCAACCAGTCCTGACCTTCTATGTAACCCTTGACAAGATATGCATCCATCTTGAGCTCCACCGTGGCTGGCAGCGCCTCCAACAACTGGGGCTCCATCGCACTCGCGCATCTCTCATTGAACCTGTTGATTTCATCATTGGTTGCAAGGTAATCGATTGCCATTGCTGGGGTAATTGATTACCAACTTGTTAAAAGGTTGGATTTCGTCCCAAAATGGTTTTCTCATGTTCTAAATCAGTTTCAAATACTTTTAATCATTTGATAAACATTTAAAAATAGATTTTCATGCTAGGAATAAATTTAAATGTCAAACGATGATTTAATGCATGTATTTAAAAATTACGTTGAGCTTTGTTCACGCAAGAAATCAATTTCCCTTTCAAATAATTTTAAGTCCTAAGATATATTACTTTGAGGTTGCTTGGACTTAGAGTCTTCTCTCTAAGCTTGAGTCTTGATCTTCTTTAAACTTCTTTTTGATTGTTGCATTTTGAAGCTTTCTTTCCATGCTTGTTTGTTATCATCAAAATTATTGAACCTTTAAATTCTTTACATAGAGTGCACTGGTTCCTTACCTTCCTTATCACTGTGATCTTTTGAAGCTCCAAACACGACTACCACAAACATTTTGTCCCACCATGGGTTCTTTCTCGCTTTTTTTCTGCTCTTCCACTACTGTTGGTAACTTCTGCTCATTATCTTTCATGCTTTGAACGTCTCCATCAAACTTAATGTGACAACAAGATTTCCACTCTCTAGTTCTCTCTCATGGCTTGGCCAACGCCTTTTGCATTCAATGTTCCGGGAAATTTCGTCAAGGAGTCACATTATCTCCTTGTGATTCTCCATATATCTTCTCGTCCTCTCATCCCAGGCTTCAATACTACTTTCCATTTTTCCTGGTTAAGACCATCCAAAGCTCCCTGAATCGTGTGCTCTGATACCAACTTTTGTTAAATCTATGAACTGTTCATTTTTGCCGTAAGATTCTTAGTCTAAAGTACGGGGTGGCAAGTATCATTTTACAATACAATTATATGATATTACGTTTTTTAATTTAGTATTGTTTTTTTTTTACTATAGTTGGTCTTAACCTTTATTCTTTATAAATTAGCCACAGAAAAAAAAAAATCAATTTGAGATAACATTAGGTAAATTTGAGCAACTTAAAAAACCTAGTGTTAGTTGATTCTCATTTGCTGAATTTGAGATTTGAATTTGGAGCGAGAAGGATTGTACATGTGAATGTAAATGCATATTGGAGATTTTGTTTGAAAGTGGGTAAATATTGCGTGCACAACTAGATGCATTTAGAATTTATAAAGGAAGGGAATAAGATCATTGGTGAAGGGATCATGTGGCGAAGTCTTATTTTCGTGTGGGGGGTGTACATGTGTTCTTGTCTGTAAACCTAGGGTTAAGCTATTTTGGGATTTTTCTTCTTGTTTATGTATGTATACAATTGATTTGTAAGTGTCTATTAAGCCTAGAAGATACCAGTATTCCATTTTAATTTAGGGGTTTGATTTTCTCATGTTGAATGATAATTCAATTCTCATGTTGTAGAGATAAAAAACATGTGGGACCCATGTGTTAAAAAAAATTATATGTAAGACCCATGTCAGCACAGAAATCAAAGGGTGTGTAGGAAAATTTGAATTCTCATGTTGAATGAGAATTATAAAACCCTTTAATTTAAAACACTAAAACAGAATCAGAATTTAGATGTATGAACCTAACTTATAAGAGTTTATAAAAACAGAATCGTTCATTGAAATGTAAGTTACTTATCATTAACAGATTCAATATTGAGATAATTGTTTGTTGGCTAAGGAATGACCTGACCTCTCATTGTATGAGTGTATTAGATAAGATCCTCATGGCAGGGCGTCCAACTCGGGAAAGATTTCACAGCGTGAAACAAGGTATATTGAGGTAAGAATGATGCTAAAAAAGTTAAAGGTAAATGATGTATATTTGAATTATTAGTGCTTACTAATGTTAACATGCTTATGTGATGTACGGAGGTACTGTCCAAGTAATAATTTTGTGTGGTCTCAAATTCTTATACACGTTGAGGGATCAACGTATAAAAGGCTGTACTTTTTTTGTATTCATTACAGCTTGTTGAGATTATTAAATTTACTGATAAAATTCTTATTACATGTATTTTTTATTATGTGATCGTTCTAGGTACCAAGCTGTACTGGAGTTGATAGTGTTTTTTTTTTAATTATGGTGGGAAGTCATTTTATTTAACTATATGTTATAAGTCGAGCATGACATGATGTAGGCCGAGTTATAAGCCTCTGGTAGGGTGATTGATACATTTACATCCCTAGAAAATCGTTTATCCTAAGAAACATTTCCCCTTTTGTGGACTCACAAAAATTATTTTTTTAAGATTTTTTTTGTTTCAATGGACCCCACCATAATTTCTTGTAGGAGATGCATTTATTCTTTTGCAATAGGAGAAATGCATCTCCTGCAACAAGAGAAAGACCTTTAAAATAAGGTTTATCACTCTTCTGTTATCGTGGATAACTATCTTCTGTTATACACACATCGATGAATGTGCAATCTTTTTTTTTTTTTTTAAAAACAATGGAATCTATAGCCGAATTTGTCTGTGCAAGAAATCGAACTTTGCACAAGTAAAATGAGAAAAATAAATTCCTTATAATAACCTAGTGTTGTTTGTACGCTCCTTTTTAACATGCTGCTTCTTGCTAGCACCTCTATACCTCTAGGTTGACTAGTTTATGGCTTCAAAGATAGCATTAATACTGTCTAAGGTTCAACACTGTTTCCTTTTGATGATAACATCTACACTATTACAAAATTTCTTCAAATTTGTTTTCAATTATGAAAAGCTTGCACACTTTCTTTCAAAATTGGTGCAACAACTGTATTACTCTCTGTCGACAATTTTGGTATTTGCAACTTACACTTAATTTTATTCGTTGACACTTTTTAGCACTCTCAATATGACAACATGTCACATAATTTGTTTTCTGCTTGTGCCAACTAATGATTTTACAAAAACCGCATATAAATTATTAACAAATAAATTTCTTCATGAAGGGATAAAATATAATAACTTTGAGATTTAAAAAACAATCAAATAATTAGCATACTGTCAACTCTTTTTGTGTTGATTTTTCTTTCTTCACAAGAAAATTGAGTGATATTAGTTTATTGTTATTATATAGGCTTAGCCATAATTTTTGTAATATCCATTTAGATGTCAGAAAGCCACGAACGATACAGTTCTTCAAGCATAAAAAGTGTAAAAAAAAAAAAACATATAATTTTTAAAAACTCGTCACCTATTATTCCCACAAAATATTATGCAAATAATAAAAGAAATAAAAAGAAAAGATAACTTCAATTCAACATCCCTTATTATTTATTCTCACAGTTACGAATTAAATTCTTTTCTTTGCAAAACCCAACTTGCTCATAAAAACTTACCTAAACTTCATGTTGTCAAGTAAGGGAAGCAAATAAATATTTTATACTTCTATACATCTTATACAAAACTTTCATGATCTCTTTGGGGCTTGAACGAAAACAATTCAATCTCTCAAAAACAATTTTGGTATTAAGTAAATGGGAAATAGTTTTCTTCTGTCGTAAGAAAATAGCTATCTTATGTTGTAGAAACAAGATTACAAGTGAGATTTATAGGTAAGAGGAAAGAGAGAAAAAAAAGTGGGACTCACCTATCTTTTGTGTGTAGAAAATTTAGTTATCTTATGCAAAATGAGATAAATATAACCGTAAGTAAATATAAAAAGTTTACAAAGCATTTGATATAACGTACTTGGCCAATATAGACTTATAACAAACAAATAATATAGAATACATCACTGTCTGAATCACTTGTTTGTTTTTGGACCACACTCTTGCCCAACACTGTACGCAAGAGGCTAGAACAAACTTTGGGTTGAATAGGGAAGAACAAAAAGCACAGAAAACAAGAATTAGCCACTCAAGCAAGACGCAAATCGTTAGATTTAAACTCTTCTGCATGTTGGTGTCGATTCAGATGAGTGTGGTACTGATCACAGAATGCATGAAGGTTGGAGGCACCATTGGCCAGTGTGACTGTTGATTCCTCTTCTCCATCGTGGAAAATAAATTGTGGATGGATCACACAGTTTTCCTTCTTAAAATTCCATACAACAAAAAATGACATGAAATCAATTCAACCTCTCTTTTCGTATCTTTGTAATATGAATTAGGAATATTTCTTACAAGTTCAAGCATGAGGTTTCCGTTCATCTGCTCCAAGCTTCTAACCTGTGTTTACATTAATTCTCAAAAGGAAATTGAAAAAGAATGGTTTGATATCGGATCATAAGAATCAGAAAAAATGGGAAATGAGTTGTTAAATATTATTAAAGGGTTCCTTGTTTCTGTCGTTGGTGCATATGAAAAAAGTCCTACACTAGGATACGGAGTCGAATTTTGGAACAAAAAAAAAAATTCCGGGACTCGATTCTGTATCCTAGTGAAAATAAGTGTTGTTACAAATTTTTTGATATGCAGCAATAGCAAGCTATTAAAGCCATTATTAAAAGGCAACACTTAATAAAAATGCTATTAGGCTTAAGTGATTCATTACAAGTATTACTGACCTTTTTCCTACATGTATCAGTCCGAGTTTTAATCACATGGAACTGTGAAAATAAAAAAATTACATGAAAAATATAAGCATAGCTTAAACGATATTAATCATTCCTCAACTATATAAAGATGCTAAATTAGTAATCTCAGAAATTGGTTAAAAAACATAAGAATTCCTCGCTTCATCCCCTGTTTTGTTTTTTCTTTGAAAGAAAGAAGGGTAAAAGGAAAAGAAAGAAGAGTAAAAGGAAAAAAGAAGAAGAAAGAAATTAGTGCCACAAAGATAGAAGAAATTAAAAAAAAAAAAAAAAAAAAAAGAGAGAGAGAGAGGAGAAGAGAATATTTGGTAAATTGAACATTTTTGGGTCATTTAAACACTTAATAAAGACATGGATTACAAAATTGAAGGAAGAAGAATCATCAATAATCAAATCCTTTTGGATCTACTTTAACTGATGTGAGACAAGTATATCAATTTTTCAAATCCAGAATTGTAAGTTTGTACCTTTCGTTCGCGTATTTTCTCAACGGAAGAAACCATATCATCTTCAAGAGTGCGTAGCTGTTGGAAGCTCAGATCATCCATATCCAAACCTTCACCTATCCTATGCCTGTTTAAACGATGACTTCACCCATATCACACAGGTAAAAGAGTGTGTGTACGTGTATATATCTATTACGGACCTTGAGGTCATCATCTTAAAATTTAGCTAAAAAAGTAGGAGTATAACCCTTTTTCATTTTGGTGCCTTCACTCACCTATCAGGTATTCAATACAATACCTATTTGGGAGGTATGACACTTTAATCAAGCCTATAGGTAGATCTTTTAGTGGACTCAACTCTTAATGAAACCACCAATTGTTATGGATCTTCATATCACCATCTCAAAATTTAGCTCAAAGAGTGAGAATGTCTAAGAAGTTATAAACCTCATTTTAATTACTTATACAACACTATCTCTTAAATATAAAACCAAAACCACTAAACAGTGATTAAACCTTCACCCTATTTGTTAAATTAATTAGTGGTCTAGAGTCTCAATCTAAATATACAATTGTGTTACAAATTTTATAGGGAGAACTTTGCCACCTTATATTCCTACCCAACTATAATAGGATTAGCCAGGTAATTGATGGACAGATAAATTAATTCAAAAAATAAAATAAAAAACATTAATTAGTTGCATCCTGTTACTCAAAGTTATATTTACCTGATCTGTCTTCTGAGTTTATTATTGATATCTGTCAATTTCTCAATGTTTTCAAACATTTTCTGCAAAGGAAAATATCCAACACACAATCAGGAAGAAAAGAGAAAAACACATACAAATTTTTTAAGTAAAAATGAACTAAGAATTAATGTTGGTTAATTAACCTCATACTGGGCACGCCACAGATCGGTATCCCCCAAAGTCTTCTGATACTGATCAATAACTTTCTTAGTCCTGGTTCACAAGTCACAGCAGAAGTTAAAAATTAAGACACAAAAGAGAAGCATGAGAGTATCAAACCCACAAGAGAAAGAGACACACGTAAGGCCAGGGCTGATGTACTCGTGCATCTTGTTGTTTTTGGAGAACATGATGAGGGAGACCTTAGCATCGCAAAGAACACTGAGTTCATGAGCTTTCTTGAAGATACCATTACGCCGTTTGGAGTAGGTGACTTGCCTGTTTGTGGGGTTCTCAATGAACTTGACCTCAATCTTCCCACGACCCATCATGCTTGATCTTCACTTCCCAAAGCTAATAATTAATAAGCCAAAGGGGTTCTAGTGGTAACTCTTGTACATTGATTATAGGTTCGAGGACAAACCAAAAAAATAGGAAATGGGGGAGGAGTGAAGAGGTTTTCCAAAACAGGAAAGCTATGCTGTCAAATTAAGGAAAAGTAGGGTTGGAGTGTAACCATGAATAAATGCTAATTTGGTGAAAGTGTGTGAAAAGCACAGGGTAGCATTATTATTATTACTACTTTAACCTCTATAGCTACTAGCTGGCGACCCTTGAAAGTGAAATAACATTCATGATCGTTTTCTTTTAATTAAAATATCTGTATTTAACGTAAATCCGTTGTGTTAAAGGTGCACCCGTAGAACCCAAGTGTGGTGGCTCAGTTGGTAGTATTGGGACTGAGTGGTGGGAGAGGACCTCGGTTCGAATCCCACCAACACCATCTGGGGAGGGGCATAAGTACCGTAATTCCTGGACTCGCACCCGAACTCTGGATTAGTCTCATAGGCGGCTCAAAGAGTCGAACTCCTGGGGATACCGGGGGTTCTGATTCACCTCAAAAAGGTAATTATGATCAGTTTCCAAAAAAAAAGGTGCACCCCTAGGGGAAGACACAAGCATGTTGAGTCTAAATCAAAGTTTGAGATGGAGCTTATAATTACTAACTAGTTCTGTCTGTATGATAGAGATGTCTAGCCAAGGGCTAGTAGTCAATATTGGATCTGGTGCTCTCTCTAGATACCTACAAACTAGATATCTTGGGGGTAGCAAATCACGGTACACAATTACGGGGCCTTAGCCAGAAATGAGGGTGGTGTGTGTGCACTGTGATTGCGTAAAATATGTTAGTGAGAGATTAGTCATACCTGTGATCTTTAGCTCCAATTTATAGAGTTTACCTTAGGGTTTAAATCATTTGGGCCTCCTTCCTTTCAGCTTGCTTTGTGATTCGCATGCTACTTAGCAGTCCGTCCTTTATTAGGCCTTACCTAGGTCCATAACAGTTGCCCCCCCAGCCCAGAGGTTGACAGTTCAGGCTGCCGGGATGTATGAATCTGAATTTTCCAACCCCATATAAGGATTGGTTATCCAAGGCATCTTTCTTTAAATATTGCTCTCTGGACTTCAATATGGGTTTTACACCTCGAATTCGAATGTAAGCCAGGGTTTACTCTTCCCCAAAATAATGTTCAAGCTTTTTTGACTTGAACTCTGCTGTTCATTCGAGTTCTTCCATTTGTCTGGCAAAACAACTCATAATCGAGGTCCTTTGCTTGGCCCCCTTCTTAATTTCGCACACACATCCAAAGTGATTCGCAACTCCATGTCGGCATAAGAAACTTTTTGCTCAACCCCCCGTGCTCCATGAAGCGTTTCTTCTCCCAAGCAATGATAACTGCTTTCTACGTGACTTCTCCTCATAGGTGCAACGTGTGCCACTACCTCTTCCACGTCGCCTCGCATTAATTCGCAACTGTCAGAACGTCCTTCAACTGTCTTGGCTGCTGATGAACTTACCTTAATGCCCTTGCCCTTTCGTTTCGCGGGCTTTGTTCGTTTAATTTTGTTTTCTTTTCTTTATTTTTACGCTTAATTTACTTCACTTCCTTCGTATTTACTTACTCCACTTTGCATCGTTCTTTTTGAGCTCTTTGCTTCTCCTTTTTCTCTCGCAACCTCAGAAGCTTTCTTGTTCTATTTTCTGCAATCCCACCTAAGGCTTACTTGCTTCATTTCAGGTATATTTTATAATCTTTCATCTATATCTACTGCATATGACGACCCTGGGTGTGTTTTCCCTTCCATTTTGCTCTTCTTCTTAATACGCTTTTTTAGCATTTTTCTTACTCTGCACTGTTTAAATATGCATGTTTCTGGTACTGTTGCATTGTGTCCTCTTCTTCTTGCGTCTACTGCTTGCCATACTCTGATATGCATTATACTGCTTAATAAGGGTTTTCCTGGCTACCAATTTTTATTTTTTCCTTCTGAAACCATTTCCTAATATGAGTGAGGGGAATTTCAGCGGTCGGGGAAAATCCACTTTCCCTCGTGGCTTTGGCCGCAGTGATGAGATAGATGATGAAGAAGAGAGGTTTATCCAGAGTCTTTCCCCGGGTCCAAGGTATTGGATCTTTGGACGACCTCGGACCGATGAAGAAAAACAAGCCGCATTATTAGGGGGATATCGAGGAGGTGGAGGTAGAGGGATGTCGTCATCTTATCCTTCAATTCAAGGACGTGGTCAGAGCATCAGCCACAACTCGAGGGCTTTATCCTGGCCTAGCAGTCGTAGTATAGGTCAAACTTCCACCCCATCACTTGTAGTACACAATTCGACCTATGATCTCCGTTAAACTAAAGTTCCCCAACAGGCCGTGGTTTGCAACCCAGTTAATCAAAACTCGGATCCATGCTATAATTATGTATACCTCAGTGCTCAATTTGTTGAGAAGGGGAATGATTTTACGGCCGACCTAGTTCTAGGTAGTTGCACTCATCAACCAAATCCATCAACCCCGCTTTCCTTGGATATTTCAGATGACTCCTCAAGCTCTTCCCATAGTAATTTATTTAGTTCAAGTATGTGTTTTTCCTATTTTAATCCTCCCCTGTTGTTGTTCTAGGTATTTATGGAGTCACCTTCTGCAGAATTAGGTGTCAGGATAACCTCAACTAGTCAAGGACCAGAAGCTAATATAACCCCTGCTGAGCAAGGCTCCGCCCCTCCTAGTAGTGACCTTCGAAAACAATTTCCTTAGGTAATAGGAGAAGTTTTGAGCTTCAGGTCAAGTATGACCACTGAAGATGTATCTAGGCTTCCTATAGGCAACCCGGTTAAATTCAATGTTTTTCCTCTAGCAGAAGATAAACCTGTTTGTTCAGGACGGAATCATGAAGAGCCACATTCTTTTTTCTTCTACCGAGATATGATTACCAAAATCTGTATTCGATTTCCATTCTAGAATTCCAAATACAACTCATGAATCATCTTCATCTTGCTCCATCTCATATTCATCCTAACGGGTGGGCATACATAGTTGCCTTTGAGCAGCTATGCTCATCCTTGTCATTATCTTGCGTCGTTCCTCTTTTCCTTTATTTCTTTAATGAATACACCCCTCGAACCGGCATTGCAGCTCTTAGATTTAAAGGGTGGACCAGCATCCGTGGTCGCACCAACAATCCTTCTAGGAAACTATTTTCTGTTTATAGTGATTCCTTCAAGGACTTTAAGGGTTCATATTTTATGATAGTTGCTGAGGGCGGAGAAAGGCCATGGTTTATTAGAGAGGATGGGGAGGGAAATTTTCCCCTTTATTGGTCCTAAGAACACCACCTTCTTAAATCGTCGGACTTTAAACTGAGGCTGTCGAGGGAAGATAAAGTCACCGCAAAGCTTTATTAGACCATGTAAATTCCCAAGGCCATCTAAGCCAGGCTTCCCTTGTAGCCAGATCACAAGCCGGCTCAGACCGAACTAGTTTGCGTAATCCTTTTTTTCTTCTGTTGTATTGTTTATCTCATATTTCTTAGTTTAACTATACTTATTCTCACTGCAGATCCTGGTATGGAGGACGAACCAGATTATATATTGGCTTTGCGAGGGAAGTCTTCAGCCTGGCCTAGCCTAGCTGCTAAAAGACAGAAGACTTTTGGTCCCTTTACCGCCACCACTTCTTCTATTCTGGTTATTAACTGGACAGTGTCATTGATGGATCTTACAGAAGATACTGACAGTTGGTTAGAGTCGGGTTTCAACCCAAACCTTCAGACTGAAGGTTCCGGAGGTACTACGCGTGCTGTAGTATCTATAGACCGAGGTATTATGATTCCCCTTGCTATTCCAGCCGGCTTGAGGAGAGGCGCATTATGGAAAAATGGAGTGGCTCCTGAGCTTCGAGGTGTAACTCGCCCTCCGCCCGCATTTTTTGGTTCTGGGGTGATTTCCGGAGTCGAGATGGAAGAGCTGCAAAAAGCAGAATTATATGCCTTCAAGGCGGCTGGCTTCCTTGCTGAAACCTTACTCTCTTTTATTAGAGAATCATTGCTGAACTTGATGTGCTTCGTGCTGACCGTGACAAGGCGAACAAGGAGAATCAGAGCTTAATTGTTGTTGCAATCGAGTTAAAATCATCTTTGGAATACTCTAAGGCTGAACTAAAGTTTATAGCAGACTCTTTCAACCTTGAAGCCGACAAAGATATCATTTTTAATCATTTCAAAGATAAATCTTCTTTGTTGGTGGAGAATGAGTCAAGTACTAATGCCCTGGCCTTGGAGAATGAAAAGTTGAAATCTGATCTCCAGAATTTGCAAACTGATTATGATCTTAGTCAATCTGCGTTGGAGAAGGCGGTTGATAGCGCATTCACTAATGCAATCAATCAGATGAAATATTTTAATCCTGACGTGGCATTGAAGACTGATCTACTTGATTGTTTTGGCTACATCCGAGGTGGGGCTAACATATGTAACACCCCGTGTATACCTGGTAATGTTATCATACTATCGTATTAAGCTGCGCTTAATTAAATATGCGGAAAATCTTTTTCTTATCACTTATGACGTCATTATACTTAGCCAAGTTGATTACTTAATCAATTTCATAAACTATCGCCTGTATGTAAATTGCAATAAGACATCTACTGAAATACCTCAATATATAAACATAAAGTGAGTATCTAAGTCACGGCATTACATCACGCAATCCGGACAATATCCTGATACATTAATACAACTCTAATTACAACAAGACATAACAAGTCTACGTGGCATGGACAATCCCCATGCTCACCAAATCAACAGTATAAACGACAAAGTCTCAACAAGATAATCCAAAATCATAAAATGAAGCTAAAAGCATAAAAGCAGCAAGCATATCCAGCATCCAACATTTCAGCATATAATATCATCAATATAAGTTCCAAAACTATGTTGTGCAACAGATATTCATGCCATGTGTGTTTAAACTATTCTACTGGCC